TTAAATTTTTGGTCATGAACTTTGTTAACATCATTGGATCTATGGTGTTGAGTCTAACTCCATAAAAATGGATGAATAATTTTAATAATAGTTTGATTTAAATTTAATTCAAATGTGGTTTGTATATTCTCTCTCATCCTTCTTCATCTCATCCCTTTCTTATTGCACTAAGTGTTATTGGAGCATGATCTTTATATCATGTCTCAAAATAAAGGGTGCATAGATTGCTATTGACCAGTCTCAAAATAGGTGTGACTTCTATATAAGTCCACTTACGATTGCTTAATATAGCGCTAAATTTTGTCTCGATTCGAATAAATGAGCATCCGTGGTCCAAACCTATGTTTGTAAGCCCAAGTATGTTAATTTGATCTCTTTGATCCAATAACCTTGAGATTCATTGTGTGGAGGCTTTGGTTCTACCAATCCTCTAATGGAACTACAACACCTTTGGTCAATGCAGATCACTTAAACATCGTTGATCATTAAATGGTACTTTTGAGGATTCCAAATGGATGATATACTTGACAAAAAGCAAACGCAACTTGTTGTGTGAAGGCTTTGGTTCTATCAATCCTCTAATGAGTTCCAAATACAAGTTTCAAGATGTTCATCCAACTAACCACTAATTATTAATTTGTTTTTACTTTATGCCCTTTTTTTATGCTTTATGCACCATTTACTTTTAGCATTACATTTCATATCATTTTTATTTTGCTCACTTGAGCTTTTCTTTTCTCTTATAAGACACATAATAATCAATATGAACCATAAAAACCTTTAATGATACTTGGACTATTTGGTTACTATCCTTGGCATTATGGAGTATTGGACTTTTTGGACATAGGATTAGAGACCTTGGCCTATGTTGGAGACCTTATGACCTTAATTGATATTTTGTATGGAGTTCTTGAGGTTTACCCCAAGACATTGGGTTGTTTGTTTGTTTTATGTGTAGGTTATTGTAATTGCATTCTTTGTTTGTAATTTGGAATTCACCCGTATACAACCGTTACCCTGCTCAATTTTTGTGAAGACTTAATACATTTGAAGTTTGGTTCCCTCAAGAGGTCTAGTATCTTTTCTTGCTTGGTTTCAATCCAAAGAATGGAAATTCTATCTTGACTCATAACATCAAGTATTGACTTCTTGTTGGTTAGATGGTTCTTCTCCTTAGCTTTTACCTTATGCTTTAGGATAGTCTCTTCTTCTCCTCCCATCTTCTTTAATTTCAAAAATCTTCTCCCTCCTTTTGAAAACACTTCTTGTTTTTTTAAAACTTGAACCACTTTCATAATAAACTTGGACCTAGGTCCATGCATTCTCGAAACCTTTTCATAAATGAACTTCAATCAACTTAATAATACTTTGGCATTTCTTTTTTGTGTGAGAAGACTAAAAGTCAATCAATCTCATTTTAGACCATTTTGCCACTTTGGCTTTTTATTTTAAAACCTTTCTCAAAAGATTAGACTCTTGTCAATCCTTGTAGTGATACAAACAACTATACATCTACAATATATAGTAAAGAGAGATATTTTCCACTTGGGTGTTGAGTGAGGCATTGTTGATTTTAAAATCCAAGTCATATCCTCCACTTTGAGATGATGCAAATTCTCCTTTCTCAGGATTGTGGGTAGTAAGTATGTTTTCCACACAGACAATGACGATGATATCTTATCTCATAAAATTAACCAACACACTTGTGTTTTAATATTTTTTAAAAAGAGGAACTATGTGTACCCTGATCCCTTATTGTGTGAAAAGGTGGTACATAGGCACTAAAGCTTCGCAACCGCGGCGGGTGAAAAAACCATAAAAATATATTTCTTTTCTCACCTCCACCATCCATTTTAACACAATATTTTATAGCCAAAATATACAGATTTTACAAAGAGGTTCCTGTGGAGTACCGTAGATGTTTAGGGTTCTAATACCTTCCCTTTGCATAACAAACCCCCTTACCTTGAATCTTTCCCCTTTTTTTGGGGTTATTCGCTCTTTTCCCATTCCTTTGGAAACAATAAAGCATGGTGGCGATTTTTATTTTGATCTGTACAAGTCTAATCAATCCAATGGCTTAGTCTTAACATTTATACCGCTACAATAAGTTCAATGAAGAAACATGAACTTATGATATTCACACTGAATCCTCATTTGAAGATGCTTCTGTAGAGCCTGATTTTTTAAACCTTGACCCTACTGTTAAGCTTAGCCCACCCGCCGCCACTCCTCCGATTTCATACACACATACTATAATAGATCATGTTGATGTTGATCCATCAATGTCACCTTATGATCATAAAACAAACTACCTCTCCCCTAGGCCAAAATTACTTCATTATAGACATAAACCACAAATGGAATTAGAGGACAAATTCATCATGTCTTCAAGATTTTTAGACTCAGAAGTTACTAAGAATACTCATTCTGAAGAATCACTGAAGGAATCTGAGGATGTTTCTTCAGATGAAACTGTGAAGCAAGAAGAATCACTCATAATTTTGCTGTTGTCAATTGCTTTTGCATCAATCTCAGTCACAAAGTCTCTAGGGATTGATCATGCTATGTTTGGAGAATTTTGCGAGGCTTATAAATTGTCTGAACTTTAAGAGTTTACAAAGGCTAACTTTGATAAGTTATCCCAGTTTTCACAAGAAAATTATGATTGTTTAGCTCAAAACTTGCATATTTGGTTTACTAAGTCACCCTCATCAATAAATGAGTTGATTTTTGATGTTAGAGGAGCATATGATTTGGGCCAGCTGCAGTATTTTAACTTGACTATGCTGAGCGGATATACTGTAGTCAATCAGTATCCTAATGTCCAGTTCGTGGTTAATCAGGATGATGTCGAGGTTCTGGTGATTGAGATGAATCCAAGAGCTTCTAGGTCTTATGTTCTTACTTCTAAGGCTACTGGGTTTCCCATAACGAAAATAGCAGTGAAGTTGTCTGTTGGTTATTCTTTGGATCAAATTCCAAATGATATAACACCAAAAAAACCTGCTAGTTTTGAGTCCAATTTGTTTGCTATGGATTTTAATATGTTTGATAGAATGCCTCATAAGGATTTGGTTTCTTTGAATACGGTTGTTGTGGGATATGCGCGGAATGGGTTTGTTAGCAAGGCTTGGTGGTTGGATTCAGATATCCTGAATCATAATTGTGAGGTGCATAGTGTTGTTGATGTCAACAACCATAGCTATTTCCTTACTTGGAATGCTTTGAATGAGTTTGATCCAAAGTATTCTGGTGTTGATTTGAGGAAACCGTTTGAGACACAAAGGGGTGAAATTTTGGCTATTGAATTCAAAAACAATGCTAACAAGTTTGCTAAGTGGACCGCACAGGCTCTTTTGGCCAGTGGTGATATGATGAAGTTGGAATGTATTTCTTGGATTCATTCCTGTCATCCAAGTCAGATTAGTTTTTCTTCACAAACTAATTTGAATCCAAACATTATGTGGCGAATTGTAAAATCTAACTTAGATTTGTGCAAAGTCAAGAGAACAAGTGAATGGAATTATTTTCAGGAGATTCCAAGTTATGTCACTATTCAAATTGGTGAAACTTCTTATTCATTACACAAGTTTCCATTAATTTTGAAAGTGGATACATAAGGAAGCTCATTTAAGAATCTAGTGATGCTACTTCGGGCATTCTGCTGATTGAACTCATTGACATCCCTGGTGGAACAGAAGCATTTGGACTAACAGCAAAGTTCTGCTGAGGTATAAACTTTGAAATAAGCATAGAAAATATTGCTATGCTATGCTGTGTGATCGAGTATCTTGAGATGACAGCAGATTATTCGGTCGAAAACTCGGCAGGAAAAACTGATTCTTATTTGAATGACATCACACTCAAGAGTATGTCAGGAGCAATATCTATCTTACATATATCTGAAACACTTTTTCCAACTGCAGAGAAAGAAAAATAGGTTAGTAGATGCATAGATGCAGTGGCATATATAGCATTGAAAGAGAGCCAATTTTGTTCATGTGGTAAAAGTGGTGGTAGTAGTAATGAAAGAGTGACGAATTCTTCAACCAGTTCTAATCAGAGGCCAATTGTTGATTGGTGGACTGAAGATCTTATCGTTCTTAGAATTGGTTTTTTAAAAGAGTTCTAATTGCTATGATGGCTAGAAGGTTTAAATAATGTGGTATTGGTCGTATTATAATGCTTTATTCACATGAATCTCTCATAGGTTTGGAGATATTTGGAAAAGGAAGAAAGGAGATTGAAGCACACGAAGAGCAGAAAAAGAGACTCATTTTTGAGACACTAGTGAGCATAATGTCGAGGGAGAATAATGCCATAACTGGGAGTTTTCTTTCGATATGGCTCAAGGCAGCAATATATCTTGAAACAATTATTGCTTGCAGGTTAAATTTGGAGAGGAGAATAGCCATGCAATTAGGACAATTCATGTTATGATTGTTCAATTTAATCATTAGGATCCGAGAGTAATTTTAGAACCTTGAGGACAAGGTTCAATTGAACCCGACGGCAATAATAGAGATTTAATATAATTTATTTAGTATTTTTATATTACTTTTTATTTTGTAATGATTCTAGAATGTTCTTAAGATCTTTAATGGTTGTTGAATTAAGCTTTTATAATTTTGGGCTTTAGTTAATTATCCATTAGGAGTTATATAAATGTAGTCTATTGAGACATTGAAAGGACATCAAATGAATGAAAACAAATTATATTTTCTTAGTTTATCTTTAACCTTTAGAACTTTAATTATCTTCTCTTGGTTTCTTGTTTTTGTTCGGGTTCTAGCATTTGGTTCCTAAGGTAGAAAGAAATACAATAACAATAAATTTAAGAAGAGGATAATTAAAATGGAACAAGATAGAAAGAAAAGACAGAATCTATTGATCTCAAGTTCTCACCTCATGAAAGGGAAGTCTAAAGCATATATAAAAACATGCACATAGTAAGAGGAAATGGGCAAGATTATCAAAGCATATATACATTACTAATCATGCGTATGAAATCATCAAATCCTCTTGTTGTAGGTAATGTAATTGGAGATGTTTTAGATCCATTTGCAAATTCAGTATCTCTAAAGGTTGTTTATGAAAATAACAAAGAAGTGATCAATAGTGGTGAGCTCAAACCTTATCAAACAGTGAACCCTCCAAGAGTTCAAGTTGGTGGAAATGATCTCAGGACTCTTTACACTCTGGTTGATATCCATATTCTTTTATTAAGTATATATTTATTTTTCAAAAACCCAAAGAGGTTACCATATGATCCAAGCCCTTGTGAGTTTGTGAGGTTTTCTTTCTAGGGTTTTTGAGTTTGTGGAACTTTGCAGGTGATGGTGAACCCCGATGCACCAAGCCCTTGTCATCCTCATATGAGAGAATACCTTATCTGGTAAGTGGAGGAAATAACCCATATGAACTTAACTAGCGGGATATCTGTGCGTTCGCACGGGTACCACTGTGTTACGCACATTTAAACTCAAAATTAAATTTAAATCAAAATAAAATATTTAATAATAATTAGTATATTATATAAAATCCCAAATAAAATTAAAATATGATAATAAAAAAAACTAATGGTGATATTGACTTTATTTCAAAAAATGTTTTCATAAAACTAATATACTTTCTTTATGAAAACATTAATATACTTTTTTCTATTATAACTTTTATAAATGATGAAATTGACTTTTAGAAATGTTATTATTTTTAATGGTTATTGAAAAAGAAATTAATTGAATGTTTAATTAATGGAAAAACATTTTGATCATTAATTTTATATTCATGTTAATATTCAATATTTTGATTAGCAACTTCATGTTCCCATTAATATTTAATATCTTGATCAGTAACTTAATATTCTCGTTAATATTCAATATTTTTATCAGTAACTTCATGTTCCTATTAATATTAAATATTTTTATGTGTAACATTATGTTGTCCTTAATATTAAATATTTTGATCAATAATTTCATGTTCTCGTTAAAATTCAAAATTTCTATTAGTAACTTCATGTTTCTATCAATATTCAATAGTTTGATTAATAACATCATGTTCCCGTAAATATTCAATATTTGAATTAGTAAATTCATGTTTCTGTTATTATTCAATACTACTTTTATCAGTAACTTCATGTTCCCGTTAATATTCAATATTTTGATCAGTAATTTAATATTTTCGTTAATATTTAATATTTTGATTAGTATATTCATGTTCCCGTTAATATTTAATATTTTGATTAGTAATTTCATGTTTCCGTTAATATTCAATAATTTGATCAATAACTTAATGTTCTTGTTAATATTTAATATTTTGACCAATAACTTTATGTTCTCATTAATATTCAATTTTTTGATCAATAGCTTCATGTTTTAATTAATATTCAATATTTTGATCATATTTTAAAAACAAAGATATATTTTTAAAATAAAAATAAATTAGTTTTATCAAAAAAATTTTACACCAATTTTTTTATAAACTCAATTCTATTACATAAACATACAAACAAAGGAGAAAAAAAAAGGACTCTAGAGATGGAGAAAGAAATATTTTTTTTACTATTTGAAAATAAAGATTTTGTATTATAAATTAAATTAAAATAGGTTATGTTGATGGTGACACACAAGAAGAAAAGTTTGTTGTCGGCACGACTATTGAGTTTTCAATTTAAAAAAAAAATAGTAATCTTATTAAAATATTTATAAAAAAAATAATTTATTAGTATTTTTTATGCTAATAAATAAATAAAATTGATTAAATATATCATAAAAATCAAAATGTTCAAACTTAAACTCTCGATTTTTTTTATTAATAACCAAGTATTAAAATAATATTTCGCAAATAACCGCGTTTCGGAAAAAAATACGCAAATAACCATGTTTCAGATGACTCCCCAAAGGAGGAGCCATATGAAATGGCGCATGCACCTATATTTTAAGGGGAGGCGCCATCTCACTTGGCGCCTATGTGCTTAGGGCATGCCCTAAGCCAAGTGAGATGGCGCCTAGTTGTATTTTTAGGGCACAAAATGATTTTTTTTCCGGTGCGTTGCGTGTTGGACAGAGATCAACAAAATGGACTTTTTATTATAAAAAAAATAATTACATCCAACTGTATTACATTAAAATAACAGTAAAAAAAACAGATTAAAAGAAATGGATACAAAAATACTGGAAAAAAAAACGGATACATCAGTGATCCCCCGGAACTCGGTAATGACCCCCGGTTCCGCATCCCCGTCCTCGCCTTTCTCGTGTTGGGTGTCGTCGCGTTTCCTGTTGCGGCAAGGTAGATGGCCCAGCGAAGTCAATGCGGTCCGAATCCATAAAATCAGTCAGATCTCCATATCTAGAAGATCCGCTCTGGTACAGTCGGTTACCCATAAAAATGAATGGTGTCGCCATCCCAATTGGCGAATAAGAGGTGTCCTTTGTTACAGCCTAGGCTCAGGCAACGTGACAGCCTTTGGGATTCCTTTCATTATTGCATGTAATATTATTGGCAGCCTTGGGGGGTTGCATCCTCACTTAATTGAAATTTTTAGCCTTCGTTTATCATAACATTGATTCACATAATCTGTCAAATCTTCCAACCTTCAAACGTTCTTACAACCAAACCTTCAAACCTGCAAACAATCAAACATTCCAACCTTCGAATCACTCATCAAATTCAAACATTCCAACCTTCAAACATTACAGCATTCAAACCTTCATACAATCGATAAACCTCAAACATTCCAACCTTCAAACCTTAAAATAATTCTATGCAATGGCCTCTTCACCACAATTTGTCGTCAAAGCACATTTCAACGGTGAGACATACATTTGTCCCACAGTTGGGTTTTTGTTTAGAGACACAGACAACATCCGATATCTCTTAAACGGGAAAGCCAATTTCTCGTACTTCAAAAAAAGATTGGAGGCCAAACTTGAACGAGGCCCGGTGTCCCATATATTTTATCAGAATCCAGTTTTCTTTGGAAACAACCAAGTAATTTTTTATAAGGTTGAAGTTCAAGATGACGAGGATCTCCGGAATATGATTTCCAGCCATGTCTATTCTGGATACGACTCTATTGAGTTGTACGTTTTGCTTCAAGAGCCTCAGGTGACACATGAGGTTGATCCTTTGGAGAATGAACAAGATGAGGTAGATGCAGTTGATGATGAAGAAGAAGATAACGAGTTAGAGTTTGATGAAATGGTGAACGATGATTCCGACGATGATGGCATCCCTAGTATTCCTACAAACAAAATCCACACACCACCTCCTCACATGACAAACTTCAACATGGGCGGAGATGAACCTTCCACTGACTTATTTTTCAATCCGTATATGCAGTCGGATGAAAATTTAAAAGAGAAGGACAAGTTTCGTAACAGAGAGGAATGCATCAGGGCCATTAAAAATTTTCACATGCTCAACTCGGTTGATTTTAAGGTGGATCGTGTCAACCCAGAAAGGTACAAGATCAAGTGTGTCCACTCTGACTGTATGTTCAAGCTGACTGCATCATACAGATTAAGGGGTGACTGCTGGGTCATAGGTTCCATGTCTACCCACACTTGTGTAAGTTCCACTCAATCACAGGACCACCGAAAACTCAACTATGATCTAATCTGTCAAGAAATCCTACCCCTGGTTAGCAACGACCCATCTTTGAAGGTGAAAACAATCATCTCCCACATCACCACGGTTTTTAACTACACTTCGTCTTACCGTAAGGTGTGGTTAGAAAAGACTAAGGCGATTGAAAGGGTGTACGGAAACTGGGAGGAGTCATACCGAGAACTTCCCCGCTACCTGAATGCACTCAAGACGTATTCTCTAGGTAGTGTTTACGTTCTAGAAACATTGCCAGCATACGCCCAAGATAGTAGTCTACTGCATGGCAACGGAATATTCAGTCGCGTGTTTTGGGAATTTCAACCATGCATCACAAGGTTTGCATCATGAAAACCAATTTTACAAATTGATGGGACTTGTTTGTATGGGAAGTACAAAGGCACGCTATTGATGGCAGTTGCACAAGATGGCAACAACAACATTTTCCCCATTGCGTTTGCCCTTGTCGAGGGGGAGACCGGTGGTGCTTGGAGCTTTTTCCTGAAAAATCTTCGGACACACGTGGCTCCTCAACCAGATCTTTGTTTGATCTCGGACAGACATGCCTCCATTGAAAGTGCTTACAATAATCCAGCAAATGGTTGGCATGACCCTCCTTCTACGACTGTCTATTGCGTTAGGCATATCGTCCAGAATTTCTCGAGGGAGGTCAAGGACAAAACATTGAGGAAAGCGGTTATGAATGCGGGATATGCATTGACACAACCCACATTCAAATATTACCGCAACGAGATCCGTTTGTCTAATCCGGAAGCCGGTAGGTGGATCGACAATATTCCGGTGGAAAAATGGACTAGGTCATACGACAATGGCCAAAGATGGGGGCATATGACAACCAATATTATTGAATCAATGAATGGGGTATTCAAGGGCATACGAAACCTCCTAATCACTGCCTTGGTAAAATCTACGTATTTTAGGATGGCTGCGTTATTTGCAAAAAGAGGTGAAATATGGAATGCGGTGTTGCAATCTGGACAACTATGGAGTGAAAGCTGCATGAAATACATTAAGGCTGAAAGTGATAAAGCCAACACTCACATGGTTATACGGTTTGACCGACACAGCCACAACTTCATTATGAAAGAGACAATCGACCACAATGAAGGCCTGCCAAGACAAGAATACAGGGTCATTTTACCTTCTCAATGGTGCGATTGTGACAGGTTTCAAGCATTTCGTATGCCTTGCTTTCATGTCATTTCCGCTTGTGCTCATACCCATCAAGACGCGCTTCAACTGCTGTCAAACGTTTACAAATCTGAAATGTTGCTCAATGTTTACAACAACAACTTTCCTTTGGTGGCAAAACCAGATTATTGGCCTGAATACGACGGCGAAATAATTTGGCACAATGACCAAATGCGAAGGAACAAGAAGGGTCGTCCCAAAAGTAGGCGCATCACAACAGAAATGGACGATCTTGACAGGTTGGAAAGAAAGTGTGGTTTATGCCGTCAGGTCAGACACAATCGCAAAAACTGTCTGAATCGGGCGTCTAGCTCGACCACATAAATATTGTAATACATCAATTTTTTTCATAATTGTGTTGTAAACATTTGGGTTTTCCGTTAACAGATTTTGCTACAATTAATAAAACACGTACAACAATAATTAACGATATTCAATCTAGGAAATTACAACTGTTAACACAATTTCATCTGACCCATGCATCATCAACATTACATCACTGTCTGTTTTGACTTCCTCCAACCACACATTAGGTCTTCCTGTCGCATGTGAGGTTGTTGTTCGTTTTCGCTGGATCCTT